ACTAACAGAAAAATAAGATTGCTGAATTGTAGATCTTGGAGTCACCCAAGACACATGTACTTTGTAAAGAGACCATGGGACATGGAATTTAACAATCTTCATTGTCAGGGAACTTCCTAAACTTCTGTGTGACTGCCTCATGGATCACTTAAAGCTCATTTCCTCTCATTGAACAGGCAGGACAGCTGGCCAGGCTTCCATCTGCACTGTCCTCAGTCCTCCCTGTGTTACGGAACACCCTTCTGAAATGGGAGAAGGCTAATTTGAAACAAAAGTAAAAACTCAAAACAAAACAAAACAAAACAAAAAAAACCCCAAAACACCAACCAACAAAAACAACAACCTTGTGGGAAATAGTATTTTAAACTGAACTTTCAATGGGCCCATAGATTAGGTCAGGGAATGGGCCAAAATAGTGAAGCACTGTCCCTTGAATAATTCAGGTTAAATTCTTAAATAATATTAACGGGGTCATAAAACACCAGGCTTGGAAATTAAAGATGTTTATGTCTCATCAAAAAGTCTTTGACTGTAACTCTCTGGCACACTGCCAAAAGGGCAGCTCTTTGGGGGAAAACCCTATGCCAAAGGCCAAAGAGGCAGCTGTGTTATTCAGCTCCTGAGAGCTTCCAACTCAACACCCACACAAGCTCAATTATGAGCAAATTAAAGGGATCCAGACTGAACACAGTAATTCTGGTAATTCAAATAAATAGAGGAAAGTCTACAATTAGTAGGAAAAGATTGATTTTCTGGAAAACCCAGAAAATGACACCCTAACCCCTTTGCATAAGCATAGTTACATCCAATTATTTAAAAATAAATTTCCTTTTATTCATCATTTTAATAATTTCTGTTCTGTCTTAAAGGTGGCCACATGCATACCAGCAGGAGTATTCACAAAATACTGAGGCAGAATGGCCTCAAAAAAAAATCTATAATGGATATATAGGAATTAATGAGATTGAGTAAAATGGTAATCAAAGTTTTATACCTACTTTTAGAGCACACAGATAATGCACTGTTCATTTCTACCTTTTCTGAGTACAGAGAAAAATTTCAAGTCATTCAGAAAGAACGAAGTTTGACTACTGTGGAATCTATTACTATAACTCATTATATTAATAACGAACAAAATACACAAGGTCATTCTGTATAGATCCTTAAAACTCACTTAATAATATTCAACATCTGATTAATCTGACTGAGTAAACTTTTTTAAGAAGGTAGGAGTACAAGGACATTTATGTAACGTGATATAAACATTTCTTCTATCAAGAACCATCAGTGAAGTCATAATTAATGCACACACACAGTGGAAGCATTCTTGTTTAATCTTTAAATTCATTTTGTTGTGCTGATCTAAAGTTCATGTGGGAGAGTAAATGTATATGAAGAGCCAAAGTGATTTTACAAAAGAAGAAAAATCAGAGGAAGTTTTTGCTGTAAGTTATCAAAATAGAGTGTAATAGCATATTGATAATATAAACAAGGTGACACTGGCATGGAAGAGACAAATATGTCAAAAGAATATGTCTAGAAACTGACCAATGTATGTAAGGAAACTTAATATTCAATGTTAATGTATTCTATTTTAATGGGGAAAGGATGTAAAAATCAATAAATGTTCTTAATAATCTGCCTATTGTCATGAATAAACATTTTTCCACCTTACACACCACGGATAAATATATTACAGATTGGTAAATATTAAAAAAAAAAGCCTTCAAAAGTACTAGAAGAAAATAATGTGATAAGTATAAAACCCAGAAGTCATAAAGGAAAAAATGGAAATTTTTTTATTACGAGACTAAAGATTTCTTCATAGTAAAGGATATCATAATCAAACTAAGATGACAAATAATGGATTGAAAGAAATTCTTTGCAACATACATAACAAAATTCTTTTTAAAAAAAGATTATTTATTTGAGAGAGAGAGAGTGCATGTATTCGAGAGTTGGGGGGGGCAGAGGAAGAGAATCCTCAAGCCGACTCCCTACTGAGTGGGGAGCTTGACATGGGGCTCGATCTCATAATCCATGAGATCATGACCTGAGCCAAAACCAAGAGGTGGACGCCTAACTGACTGAGCCACCCAGGTGACCCCATAACAACATTCTAAAGACAAAAAGAATTAAGAAATGGAAACATTTTTGGCAAAGGATATAAATTAGCAAATCATAGAATGTGAAATACAAATGGATCCCCTGAAAAAACAAAAACAAAGCCAAAAAATACCCTAAACTCTCAATCCTAAATTCAGTCAAAAGGGGAAAAGCAAATTGTAAATCCAGATTAATTCACATAAAATTGTACAACTATTACAAAGAAACACAATATGTGATATAGATATATGTACATAGATGGTGCAGCAAATAAAGTGCTACGTAGGTATACATAGCAAACTATTTTTAAATCATGTTTCTATCTGGGGATAAGAATACCTTTTTCTCACAAGAGCTGCCTATTTTTTGAAATATAAGTGAAATTAAGTAAATGGAACTCACCTTTAAAATAATTTGAACATAATATGCAAGTTAAAACGCTAGCCTAGACTCAGCAACAAAAATGAAACAAAAACAAAGGTACTAATTGGGACCGTTAGCCTTCAAAGACTCCTGTAGACTTTGGAAAGGAGAACTATCCAACATAAAGGACTAGATAAATAAAAGGTTTTATCTTTTTAAGTTTTGAACCATATGAAACTGCTAGTTTTCCAAGTCCGAAAATAGTCAAAAGCACTGATTTGATATTCAGCCTAAATACCTTAGGATGGATGGCTGGATGATTGATTTTTTGCTGTTTGAAGACTGGATCTTGACCCTGCTATCTTTATAAACATAGCCACCACCCTTTTTGGTAAATATAATAATTCCTTAGGTTGCTCACTGCTACTTATAGAAAATGAAATGACTTAACAATAATCTTTTCACCTAACCAAACAGGAAAGACACTTCCAAATGTTTACCATCTGGTATCGTCTGAGCTTATGCGCTAAGAAAATCAACATGTTTATTGAGCTCCCTCAATTGTTTTGGGGACAGGGGTTCAGAATGGCTCTAGAATGCTGCCCTCCACAAGACTGTTAGCTTTAAATGTTTTTTTTTTTTAATGTTTTATTTATTTATTCATGAGAGTAAGAGAGAGAGAGAGAGAGAGAGAGAGAGGCAGAGGCAGAGGGAGAAGCGGGCTCCCCGTCCAGCAGGGAGCCCGATGTGGGACTCGATCCCAGGACCCTGGGATCATGACCTGAGCTGAAGGCAGACGCTCAACCATCTGAGCCACCCAGGCACCCCAAGACTGTTAGCTTTAAACTGGCATTTCCTGGAAGAGACCAAACTTTGATGGTGTATAAAATATTTGTATACCATATTTTACCACTTCTGCTGTATGGTGCATTTAAGCCACAGCTTTGGCCCCTGTGTCCTGAAAACAGCTCGGGACCTCTACCCAATGAGGCAAACTGAACAAACATTACTATTGTCGTTTATGGTATAAGTCCAACAGAATGCAATGAGTGACTTCTAGCTATACATATTTTGGAAGGGCCGTTTCAATGTAAAAATAGAAAACTTCTCAAAAACAAAACAATGTAAACAGAAATACTGTTTCTGGATATACCTTAGACTTTATTTTTACAGATTTGATAATAGTTTTTCTTTCTTAAAATGGGCGCCATTTTTTTTCTTTTGCAGATAGTTTTTGGGAACTTTTTGTTTTAATTAAATGAGGAAAATAGTAATATATTCTTGCCCCAAATTAAAAGAGATTTTTATCTACTCGTTTTCTTCATAGAGTAATTGGGAAGACAGAACAAAAGATGTTTATCAAGCACTTTATAAAAATCAATTGCTCCTCAAATTATTAGTAATAACCTTGGTCACTGTCACACATGATTCCTTTGGTTTGTCAAAGGTTCATGCTGGAGAAAATCCCCTTTTCTGACCAGGGCTCAGCTTTTCTATCCCTCTCTTGCTATAGGTGATCAGAGCAAATGTATCCTAGTGATCTAGTTAATTTGTAGAAAACAGAATCAATTTCTCTTGTTTCATCATGACTGAACATTTTTCTGAACTCCTGTAAATGAGTAAGAGATAAGCACTATTTATCAGATTGTTCTGTGGAGCACATGGTTTTGATTATTCTATATTCTTGTTGCTAACTAATGAAAAATGCAATACATCTCACGAGAAAACATTTGCAAAGCATGGCCTGTGAGCACCCAGCAGCAATGAACGTTTGCTGGGGATTTATTTTGCACTTGCACCCTTCTCTCACATTCCTCTCTCTCCAACAGCCCGTGAGAGCACAGCAATGCGCTTGGGTGTCTGAAATGTCTTCTGGGGTCCCACATCCTAGGACCTGGAGAACATCATTTCCAGGCGGCCCTCGTTCTGCACTAGCAGCCAAGAGTCACCCTGAAATTTCCTGCGGAGCTCAGAACCTCAGTGAGGTTCTTCAGGCATGGACCCAGGGTACCTCGACAGCCTCCATCTGGCAAACTCAAGGAACCCTTTCCCCGCCAGTGTTAACAGGATCTGAAGATGGGCATTTCAAGAGATAAATCTTCCCTACCGCTGCCATCCCTGTCCACTGCACATAGAGATAGGAAACCCCGCGGAAGACGATTCCTTTAACCCTATTATCTTCCCGGGCCCCGCAGCGGGTATGTTCTTGAGAACGGCAAAGTCACTGATAGAAGTGAGAGGGCAAATACAAAGGCAGGTGAGTCACTGATGCTGACGGCATCCAGATCATTCAGAAGGAATGATCATATTTTTCTGACCAATATGGACCGCCTTATAAAAATGTCATTCACCTCTCTTTTAAAAAAAAAGGGGTTATCACAATTAAATGTGTGAGACCAATATCCCCTCCCCCAGGCTGGGGCCGACTTCACCCCCTTAGGTTGGAGCTGAGGAAACAAAGGGAGGACATTCAGGAAGACAGATGGGCTTAGGCTGGCGCGCTGACCTGGATGTCACTCACCCTCACTTACCAAGGTCCATGCTCTTGGAGGCTTTCAGATTCATCGATTCGGGCTGCCTGGCCGGTGTCACAGATCTGAAGTGGATGTGCTGATCTGGAAAATACACTGCCGAATCCACCTCAGAGCTGTGGAAAGAAGCCATACGCCGTATTTAGATTTAGAATTAAAAAAAAAAAAAATTCTTTTTTTCTTTTGGTAAAGGAAGCAGTTCTCCTTTTGAACCCAGCCCCATCTCATATCCTCTCCAGCTCCCAACCATGTATTTTCAACTGATTCCAGAATCTCGGGTGGCTTTTATGAGACGTAGCAACTCTATTTTTATGTATTTTATCACACTCTACTATTTAAATAAAATATTCTCTGGCTAATGCCATGTTTTCCTCTTCACTGATTTCTGCTAACTGGGATCCTGCTGTACAATGTATAGCTTCAAATGGGAAAGCCAGGCCTGGAAGGAACTGGAGGAGGCTGGCAGGTATTCACAGAGCCTAGAAGCAGGGTTAAGAGATCTCTGAAGGCTAAGCATGGCCCTCCTTTAGAAACAAGTAAAAGGCTTGTGTACTTTAGAGAAGACCATCCTGCTGAAAGACTGCTGGCTGCAGTGGTTTGGTCTCCGACTTTATTTAGGCCTATTTCCTAAAACTAACGTTCATACTGAGCACACAGTCTACTCATTAATAACACAACAAGGAAAGAACAAGAAAAGCACAGTTTCAGACACCAGATATGTTAAATGCCCTTATGGGCTTCCCAGTACTTGTAGTCAATCTCAAAGAATTCTGTTTCTGCTAAATATTTTATTTATTTGGCTTGAGGATGGAGGGGATTATACAAGGGAATTACAGACAATGCTTTATTTCTTGGTCTAGAAATAAATCATATTTATAAATTTTGTAAGTTAAATTACAGCTGCTTTCTCCCCTCGTATTCTCATATATTGAGAAAGTTAATACGGTAGCTCATTTCAGCATAACTTTAGTCTTAAATACAGTGAAACTCAAATCAAGTGTCCGATAAATCTGAAAGTACTGAGGTTGAGGTTTTCAAACAGTTGGGATTTGACACTGTAAACAGTAAAACAACAATAAAAAAAATGAACCATTATGAATGAGAATCCTTCAAAAACGTACAGGGGATCTCAATTTCTTAACCAAATATACCGAAATAAGTTTCATCTTTTCTTGAAACTCATTAGTTATGCACATTCAATTCTGCCTTGCAGCAATATTAAAATTAAAATGCAGCAATAATACTGCTGAGTGAATAAATGAACCCCCATTATTGTAATATGGTGGGGGGCTTCCGGAAGTACCTGCATCAGGCAGCAGAGCACAGAGCTCAAGGGCCCAAAGGCCAAAGCAGCGCTGCTTAGTTCTAAATCCTGGCTCTGCCCCTGACTAGCTGTGGGGCCTACGCACAGCACCTAATCTCTCTCTGCTTCAATTTCCTGATGCGTAAAATGGGTCTAACTCCACTCCTTACTTCACGGGGTTCTTAAGAGATACAATGAGTTTGTAAAGTAAAAATAAAAAGATTTGTAAAGTCAGGAGAACAGATTCTGGCACAGAGTAAATGCCAGTAGAAGCATTTAGGAAACAACTAAGCAGGTAAATAAATAGACCCGCTTTTGCTTCCCAAATGACCATAAATTTTTGCTTTTCGAGTCATCTATACGATTTTTTCCAGTCTCTTTCTTTCTCTGTTTTTGTCAGGGTCTCGGTAGACCTGGGACTAAGAGCCCTTCTCTATTTATTTTCCAGCTTTTTCCCTTTTTTTTTTTTTAACAAATATTATTTATTTATTTTTAGTGTGGTACGGTTGACACACGATGTTACATTAGTTTCAAGTATACAACATAGTGACTCCAACAAGTTTATCCCTTCTGCTATGCTCAGCATGAGTGGAGCTAAGGGTAATGTGCCGTGATGGTTAGGAGCCTGGGCCAGAGAGCCCTGCGCCAGGGCACTTGGCCTCAGTGCACTAGTCCCCACAAGAGATAGTATTAGGATGTATAAAGTTGTTGTAGGGAAATGAAGATATGGTATGTGCTAACAGTAATGCCTAGAACACAATGAGAGCTTGATCAAGGTGAGCTGCTAAATCCTTTCTTTATTTCTGTAGGTTAGAGAGGGCCTGAGACACTCTTCAGTGAAGAAATTATACAAGGTTTCATGAAAGTTTCTCAAGAAATTCAAATCTACTCTTTACAAAGCTTTTTTGTTTGTTTGGCTTCTTCCTTGGTGTCTGGCTTATATTTTCAATAGATAAAACCAGTGGCATATATGGAGTATATTAGATGGGGTAGGGAGTGATGACAAAATATGCCAGTTGTGAACAAAACTCCTTGCACCACGGGGCTACGGACACTGGCCTTCCATAACAGCATCGCTTGGATTGTTTTGGCCCATTTTAAAGAAGAATTCTGAGAGGCTACTGTGAACATGAGCTTCCCCCTGAGCCTTGGTGTTTTGGAAGCACTTGCCTTTAAATGTGTTATTCAACCTTTATTTGCACTTAGTTTCACATCCTTTGATCTCTTGTGATGATGTGGTTTTAATGTCAGAAAGCCTCATGGCCTTCAGAGAATCCAAGAATTTAAGAGCCGGGAGGCATTAAAGGTCACCTCTAACTCCTCATCTTGTAGGTGAGACACTGAGGCCCGAAGAGGAAGCTGCTATTCCAAGGTCACACAGCTGGTCAGTGGCAAAGTGAGGACCCGAACTGTGGTTTCTTCATGTTGCCTTTTCTCAGAGCCACAAAAACTTTGGCTGACATGGTGGCCAGCCTGGGGCACAGATATGGACTCTGCTGATGTGGACTGCTGGTATGGACTCCAGGAACATCCAAACGTTCCCTTTTGGGGCAGATTCACTCCCTCTCTTACGCTGTTTGTGTTTTAGGTTAGCTTTGTGTTTCTGTAGAGTGCTACATACCATGAAATAAAAGGAAAGCGAAGAGTTAACACAAACAGATGTCCTGTGTTACAATGAAAGCCATTTGGGGAGGTGGTTTAGGACCAACATGAATATTCCTCATTAAAACTTAGGTAGCACTGCATTTAAAGAGTTCTGCTCAAGGGAGACTATGGGAATCTACCCAACTGAGGCACACACTGGTTAACCCACTTTATTGTCTTACTTTACCAAACTAGGCACTAATTGACAAATTAAATACAATAACTCAAATTTTTTGAGATTCTTGGGAAACAATGATCCCCATTCCCATTTTAAAGAAAGCAAGGTGGCAATGCCCCTTGATGCAATAACATCAGGTAAGGATCAGTCTAAATAAAGTGAAATTTTTGGTATAAATGTTTACATATAATGAAGGCTGATAAAAGAAATAAAAAAGCCACTTTCTACAAATGAATGTAACAAATGTTCATATATATGTGTGTGAGTGTGTGTGTGTACACACTATACATACCTGAATATACCCATTAAATTGATGATAGCGGTTTACACACCAGTTGCCATTGCTTTGAACATGACCAAGTGTACGTTTGGAAACCTTCGAGAGAAGGACCCATTTTGCCATGGTACAAAATTAGAAATAAGGCAAGATAAGGCTGATATTTAAGGAGGGGAGTGTAATATGATAAATTACAGGATTAGAGCCAATATACCGTGCATTGGCTCTATGAGTTTATACAGTGCACTTAAATAATGAAGTGTAGTATTGAATTAGTTAGTGTGAAAATATGTTAGACATGTAAGTGAGACTAGTAAGACCATTTGTAATTCTATTGGAAGTTTTTGGAGGGAAAGGGTGACACGGTGATTAACTATAAAATCTGACATATTTTAATTTTGAAGAAAGTTAGCATGTGCTCATGGCTGAGTGGGCTCCAGTGGAGGCTGTGGGAAGCTGCAAGTTGACAGCAGGCCAAAGCCACGTTTTAGATTAAGGCCACATTTTCAGTGTGAACAACCAGGGGATCTATCAAATAGAAATGATACTCAGTGTCAAATTATGCTGCATAATGAATCAATAAAGGTAGCAGGAAGCATATGCCAGTGTCCTGAATGTGGTGACAAATCAGGAATGTGAAAGACATATAAGACCCAGCCATGAATGTTCAAGGAGAACTGTCAGAAATCAAGAGGAAGGAGAAGAAGATTTTGAGAGGTATGGCAAAAAAAAAAAAAACTGAAGTCTCAGGTGTCCATCCATGAATAGGCTTCAACAATTGGCTACTATGAATGAGAGTAGATACTGAAAGGAAGGGAGGGAGGGAGGGAGGAGAGGAGGGAGGGAGGGAAGAGATAGACCCAGGGGAGTGGAGAGAGAAAAAAATATGAGCATGCAGGGAATAACCAAATGTTGTCTAAACTGTTACTACAATTCAGTATATTCTGTCTGTTCCTAATTTGCCTTAAACCCTCTCTGAGAGATCACAGTAGAAAATATACTTCCTTTATATTTATTTTTTTATTCAGACACACATATTCTAAACTTTTGTCCATAATTGATGACATCATAACTACAGGTAACTTCCATAAATTCCTGATGTCATCTTGGTTCAAGATAACAGGCATGAAGTCTGATCACGTTTGCGTCTCACTTCTCATGTAATAGTTGTGTTCTGTTTCAGAAGGCTGGTTACATTCCTAAAGCACCACTTTTCCTTTTTAGAGGGCTTTTTACCTTTTTTTTTTTTTTTTTTTTGAAAGCCAGGGTGGCCTCCCTTGTTCAGCCCTCCTGGTTCCCTTCCAACCTTTCCTCCATCCCAAGTTCCACACATCCAAGCCGCACCCCCCCCAACTGTTGCCAGTCACCTAGGCAACGCAGCAGCTTGCAGGATGGTGCAGGTCACGAGATCCCAGGGGGAAGTTTCAAAGCTTTACATTTGTTCCTTCCATCTCAAAAATGTCTTTGGCTCTGCCCCTTCCTCTCCAGCCATGCTGTTCCCTTCTTCATTCTGGCCAGCCCAATCTCTTCTCTTGCCAGTCCCTACCCTTGTTTACAACTTTCCCCATCCACAACTGAACTCACTCAACCTGAGACTGTCATCAGCACCTCCCGCCACAAAACCCCTGCTCCAAGAAATTTGTGGAGACACCGAAGAAGCCAAAAAGGCCATTGCTAATTCCTGATAATTCCATCTCTGCAATATCTCTGATGCCCTCTCTCACCTGAAGAGGTTTCTCATCTGAAAGCTTCTCCCCACCCTCCCCAGCACAGATCCTTAGTACCTTTCACTGCTACTGCCCTAGAAAATGTCCAAAGAGTCTCTGGCTTCCGGTGGATGTTACCCTTTCTCCATCTCCCTAATGCCTGTTGTGCACAACTAAAACCCAGGTCTTATCATGCTGTCTGCTGAAACCCTACCACAAGGTTTGACCATCTAACGAAGGAAGTCTGCATTCCTTACCTTTGCACTCTGCACTCTAGCATCTGGCCAGTCAGCCATGATACAAGTTGCACAAATCAACTTCCTTTTCCAGCTGCCATGCTGTTCCTTCTACCCTTTCCTCTCTCTGAAATTCCCCTCCTTCCTGGGCTTTTCTCATGTCCACCTCTGATTCATACTTTGAGGTTTAGTTGAAATGTCACTTTTCCCATAACATTTTCCCTGATTCCTCTATCTGGAAGCATCCTCCTCTGCGGTGGATGTCCACAGTATTTTCTCTGTACCTTCTGGTAAATATCACTTTGTCCCTTGTGTGCTCGTTGTCGTTTTACCTACTGGCCTACCATCTTCTTGAGGGTAGCGTTTATATCTGATTCATCTTTGCATTATTCCAACACTTTTGCGTATATACACAGAATAAACAGTGAAGTAGAACGAATGAAATTATTTTTTAAATGCATTTTGTTATGGCCACCAAACTGCCATTTTTGATTCAGATTTGAGGCAGGCAATGGACATGAATGGACAAAATTAAATATGTCCACATCTTCTTTCAAGAAACCCCTAGAAACTGATCTAGAACATTACTGTAATTATCCACCCAGTTGGCGAAACTGGATTTGAGTCAGATAGCGGACTTCAAAGATGTAGGAATCAGAGGTAGCTAAGTACAGGTAAGCTCCCAGCTAATAGAGTGAGCTGTACTCTTTTGGTGTTTTATTTTTAGCAGATGGTAATAAAAAGCATAATAGGAATGACACCAGCGTTGCTGCAAGAAAAATGAAAAAATTTCACAGGATTATCCTGGGACACAGAATGGAATAAAATACACAGTTTTTAACAGCCATAATAAATACAGAAAATAGCAAAGGGACAAGTTAATGATTTTTAAAACTCATCAGAAGAACAAAATCTATGAATTCCACTAGTCAGATGGTGTGTATACTTAGTAAATCTCTCTCTCTCATGCTTGTGAGATTCTAAAAATTATTGATTTTTTGGTTTCTATTACAGAGTGGATATAACATTGGGCACTCTTTTCAATATTTTAGATTATATATGGTGTTGCTTTAATTTTTAGATTCCATTAACTTTCTTGGAACATTTATTTTTAAAATACCTTTAGGGTTTGCCAATTACAAATGAAAAAAGAAAAAAAACGAACTAAGCTTTATGTCCTCTCAGTTTTGTTTTATACCTTCCCATAGAACCTTTTGAGTCCTCTGGTTTTTCAACATGATAAAAGAAAGTTCAACAATTTTCTTAAATATTTTATAACATATGACAAATCTTAAATTCCAGGAGGCAAAATATGAACATTCTAAACTATTAATTTTACCTATGAGGAGTTTTCACTGAAAAGGAATTATAGATGCTATGAGATTTCCATTCTGGAAAGAAATAGAGTCAAAGTCAGGTTGCTGGGTTTTTCTAGAAACATTGTACTGGGGAACGCTGATGATCTCTCATTTTATCAGTACCTGTGGCTGTAATCTTCAGTGCCCAGTTCCAGAATGGGATGTGGTGGTGGAGAAGGCGGGACCTCAGCCTCGGCCCATCCATCACTGGGGAGCAAGAGCTCTAAAACACAAAGAACCAATGAAGCTGTGGTCAATGGGAGGCAGAGCTATTTGGTGCCTGGCTTTCTTTCAGTACATCTCACAGATGCCATCTGCACCAACACATTAACCAACCTGAAATCAATAAGTCCTCCTACAGAACTGATTCAGGATTTGTATGGGAGCTAAGGCAGCCCTGGGTGAGGAAATCTAAGCCTGCTAATAGGTTTTTACCCTATTAGCACCAACCCAAGGCAAGTCAAGGCCGTGCATCCTGAATATCATTTCCCAGCTACGGAAGGCTGACAGTTGCTCATGACGCGTGTTCTGTGGAAAATTAACAAACCATCTCTTTCATGCCTTAACAGTTTTATAAACAAGACTCTCTCATGAATACGCTGGGTTATGTGGTGATTTAGGTATTTGCCTCAGTGACAAAAAGTACTTTAAAAAAAAAACCCAAAACATGAGATACTTTATATCTACTCACCATTTAGAGATGGTAGAGGGGAAAAAATACCCTTTTTGCATCTGTGCCACAATGGAAATATGTGGGTTTGAGGCCTTGGAAGCAAAAGACTAGGGTCAGACCTGGTTTTCTCACCTACTTAAAATGAACACTTTTCCAATCTCTTCTACTCTGGAAGAACTAGACATGTATCCTGAATCTTACTACAACCAAGGTTTGTAGTAACAAGCAGGTTTGTTGAGATCTTATCGTGTACCAGACATTGTGCTAAGTATTATGTACATTATGTCATCTAATGCTCATCCTTATTACCAGCACTAACGGACTTATGAAAAGCATGAGAAAGCGGCCTGGGGGAGAGTCAAGTTTGTGCAGCAAGGCCGCCAGGTCCCCAGTCACGGCTCCCACTACTGTGTGAACTTGGCCCAACTATTCAACTTCTCTAAGTGTTAGTTTTTGAAATCTGTAAGGTGGGAGTGAGAATAGCTTCATTAGAGGAATATAAGAATTATATAAGATGGTGCATATTCACACAGATTTATAAATGCAAAGTGCTAATAAGCAACTAAAAGATTATTCTATACCTCCTAAACTCTACTGTGTATCTATTACAGTGAGAGATTTGGTAAAAGGTGGACCCTATTTGTGTTGACTGCTGGAACAAGAGAGAAGTGTCCCGACCCCTGTGAAATGTTGCTGGTAAAAGAACCTGCTTGATTTGCCCACATGCCAGGTGTGATGGTTACTTTTATGGTTAACTTGACTGGGCCCAAAGTACCCAGATAATTAATCATACATTATTCTGGATGTGTCTGGGAGGTTGTTTTTTGGGTGAGCTTAGCATTTAAATCAATAGACAGAGTAAAGTAGATTGTCCCCCCATAATGTGGGTGAACCTCATCCAATCATTTGAAGGCCTGAGTAGGACCAAAATGCTGACCCTCTTCTGAGTAGGAGAGAATTCTTCCTGCCTGACTGTCTTCAAACTGAGACACTGGCTTTTTCCTGCCCTTGGACTTAAACACAAATACTGACTCTTCCTGGGTCTTGAGTCTGCTGGCTTTCAGGGCAGGACTATACCGTTGGCTCTGCTTGGTCTTTAGCTTTGCTCATTCACCTTGCAGATGTTGGGACTTGCCTGGCTCCATAATCATGCGAGCCAATTCCTTATAATAAGTCTCATTATATCAGTTATTATATGTTCTTACGTATATGTCATATATATTATTATATATTATACATTATATTCTATGTTATATGATGTATAATATAATGTCTATTATACATTAAATACATATAAATACAAATACATCCCCTTGGTTCCTCTGTGGAGAACCCTGTTCCATGCTCTGCTTCAGGGCTTAGTAGGATATGCAGGTAGTTCTAGCAGTGCCCTCACGCCCCTGGGCAGGAGGCTGGACGCGCGAGATCTGATAGGCAGGGTGACCAGGGCACAGAAGCGTGGTGAGCGAAGGCAGTCAGCACTGTCCCCCTGCACCGCCTCCCACCCAAGTGATCTAGTGAGTTGGTAATACAGTGGCAATCAGGCAGCCAGAGACTTGCTGAGAGAAACAGAACAGAAGAATACACTGTAATCTGGAGACAAGGGACATATTGGGACGACATTTTCCACTGGCTCTAATCTCTCTACCCTCAACTTCTTAGCCCATCTTTCACACTGGTGATAAACACGGCCGTGATCACATATCCTTGGCCTCTCAAAACATTTCAGCTGCACACAACAGCCTAGAGAATAAAGGTCTACGCCCCTGGCAGGCGACGTCGGCTCCTTACCGCACACCAGCTACCCAAGACTACTTACTGTTCCCCAACCACAAGCCTGGGCCCTCTTACCTCAGCGTGTCTGCTTACATAACTGCAAAATCCAGTCCCATCCATCAAAGTCCCACCCTTCTCTCAAGATCCACCTCAGTATTTTTATAACAGTGGCAGAGAACACCAGTGCTCACTCGATCTGTGTCCCTCCTTTCTTCCTGCACATACAGACCCCATTTCCCAGCCTTCTTTGTCCCTAGACTTGTTCTTGCCAACAGCAGGTGAGTTGCTCTGGTCATTGACATCCCCAGTATCAGTGGTTACGAAAGGGTACATTCTCTCCACCTGTCCCATCTCCCAGCTGCAAGGAGAAGGGGATGAGGCTCTAGAAAATGGCCTAGCCACCAGTGGAAGGAACCCAGGTGCCTCCGTCACTGCAGGGAGCACAGCCCCCGTCCTCCAGCTACCATACCGCACTGGGCTGTGGTAAGACAAGAAAAATACTTTCACTGTCTTTATCCCCTGATATTTGGGGTTTATCTATTAATATTATGGAAAATTATTCCATTTGTAACATTTATCACATGTGGCTATTGCAATGAGCTATCGATCTATCATCTATGTATCCATACCTGTTTCTCTGACTGGACTATGGAGAAACTCCTTCTAGCCCTCTTTCTCCTCTCCCTCCTCTTCTTCAGCATCTTCGCTGGATTCTTCAAGTTTTATTACAATTGTTACCTTTAGATTTTTTTTTTAGAGAGAAAGATTGCACTGGGGGACGGGGGGCAGAGGGAGCAGGAGATAAGCAGACTCCTCGCTGAGCAGGGAGACTGACATGGGGCTCAATTCCAAGGCCCCGAGATCATGACGTGAGCTCAAATCAAGAGTTAGGTGCTTAACCAGCTGAGCCACCTGGGTGCCTATTACCTTTAATTTTTGTTTCATCCACATGAACAATCTACATATTTTTAAGTATCTATAGGTACAGAGGCAAATACCTTCTTTGTTGACTCTCTATCCATGGTATATTTTTAAACATGTTCAGATGTTAAAAGGAATTTTTCTTTCTCTTGGCCCAAACACCTCTATTAACCCTCTGTCAGTGTGAAAATATGGAATTCTTTTCTCCAAAAAATAATATTTCTGGATTTCATCACATGTACAAGGTTAAGTTTTGATGGTCATCCTATATATAAATGCCTGTGAATGCTGACAGTGCAGCCTCAGGTAACTACTTCATTCATGACCCAATAACCCTTATTTTAATCTTTTTTTTTAAATTGTTGTTACTTGTTTTACAGATTCTGTCCTGCTAGGGCCGGATCAGAAAAGAAGAGTGAAAGGGGTTGCAACTTGAGACAAGGGCTCAGCGGGCTACGGCCCTGGTCCAAAACAAGCCCGCCATCTGGTTTTGTACATAAAGTTTCATTGAGCACTTATGCTCACTCATTTACTACTGTCCATGGCTGCTTTTGGACTACAGCGGCAGAGCTGAAGAGCTGAGACTGAGATCCCTTGGCCTGCAAAGCCTAACCTATCTGGCCCTTTACAGATAAAGTTTGATGACCCCTTGTTTTTTATATTTTTTAATTAGAAAAAATTTTAAAGCCTATTCTTGAGGGCTATAACAGCATTGTATTCTTTTTTGAAACCCTGATGGTGTGTTCTACACAATGAAGGTATTCAATAAACAGCAGGCAAATTGAAAAGTATAATTCAATTTCTGAACACCACTCCAGAGGGAGTGTCTTACGTGCTACAGAGGGGTGGACACATGCTGTTTCCCCAGAGAAGGCACATTAGGAATAATTATACATTATGTGTCTGCCCAAAGGACCCCAGGGAACATGGATCCAATGAGACAGGACACATAACCGAAGGGGTTTGATTTGCGGTGGGGATGGAAGTCCTCCAGGAGCCCTTCCTGGATGGTGATCCTGAGCAGACTTAGGACAATGGGTGACTCACACATGGGGCTGGAGTGCAGAATTGAAAGGGGAGGGGAAGCAGGAATAGAGCACAAAAGGGGGAGACGGGAGCAATGAAAAGAGAGCTAATAACAAACCAGAGGCAAATGGTGCTTATTATTATTACTTACTCATTACTTGGCCACGGGTGAGATCTAGCAGCAAAATTCTTCAGAAAATACAGTGTTGGTATTTCATATTCTTTATTACCATTTAAATGCTTAATAGGATTTTATAACTAAACTGTTGGGACACAGCCCCCGTCCCGACCCCTTACCATTTGGGGCACCACACTCATTCTACTGCAGGCATTGCTAGCAATTCTCCAACACAAATGTGAATTTTCTGGTGTTACAATTTATACAAACGTTAGTTCTAAAAATGCCTTTTCCCTGTAACAGCTTGACAGGAGTATGTGTGTGTGTGTATATATATATATATATATATATATATAAATAACCGAGGAACTGTGGGTGGTATGTACTATTATTACAAAAAAATAGATGGAACCCAGCATATCAACATTGGATTTTTAAATATACAAAGGAAAGGAAAAAGGGAAGAGAAAAGAAGTGAATGTTTTGGCTGTAACAGTTCCTTTCCACACTAGACATTACATTTTGTCAACTCAATCTTGCTTTTCTGAAGGGGCTCCGTAAAAAACTTGGTCATGTTGAGTCAACACTCAGGTTTCACGAGGCTTACTGGCCTCTTGCTACCTCATGTGCAACTGAAACTCAGAAACTCTCAATGGTTCCCAATATTTTAAATGTTTTTAGTATGACAAAGAGATGATGATCATGATATTCTTCTCCAGCATCATGTTTACAAATTCTATTATATATATTCTTATCTCTAAGTCAATAGGCTTACATAAAAGTAAGACAATTTCATCTATGGGTCTCTTACGATTAAAATTTAATTAGTCTATGCCTTGATAGGCCTAATTCTTTAACTGAATATTGTATAACAGATCTACAAGGAAATAACAGCAATAGATTTTTCCTGCTTTAAAGAAAAATAATGTTCAGTGCAGTCCTTGAAAGAACTGGATTTTTTTGTCACCTTGGAAAATTGACATGGGGGGAGGAAGTATAGCAGGAATCTGGTAGGTAGCTGACCTGCACAGTTTTTCACTGGTGTAAAATGTTGTTCTACCTGGAGGTAAGTCTCAAGAGGAAGGGAACAGACAGACTCCCAGTGGTTGTCTATGGCCACATGTACCCAAAGGACCTAACTGTTCAGTGGAAATACAAACTCAAAACATTCTACTGAAGTTTCAAAGAATTATGACATTTTGTTTTTAGCATGTGCTTCGACTGGACTCTAATATTTGAATTTTTTTTTCCACGTATATCCTTACATTTTAACAAGTTCTATAGTTTCATTATTTTGGCCTTTGTTGTCCCTTCTAGAGATACTGTCCCATTTCCCTATCTCGATGTCCTCTAAAAATACTCCATGTAATTACCACTCCAGTGTCAGTATTTTATAGTTATTAAAAATGAGGGGCATCTGGCTGGTGTAGTTGGTGGAGCACGTGACTCTTGATCTCAGGGTTGTGGGTCCGAGGCCCACGCTGGGTGTAGATATTACTTAAAAAATAAAATCTTTAAAAAAAAATGAAACAAGATAGGGGATAACATGCCCACTACTACTTTGGTATAATTAGGAATAAAACCTTTAACTTGGATTGTCATTGTATCACATGTTGCTTGAGAATTAAACGCCAATCAAAGTATGTAAAGCCTAGATATTTTAATACACATGGCAATGTTCTTGATCACTATATGGGCACAGTAGAGAGAAGGCTGTTCTAGTCTGTGGAAAACTTGCTGTTCCTTCCCCAGATTCTCCTCCTACTGTGATTTAAGGTCTCAGAAAGAGATCTTGCTTTGTCAAGACAAATTTTAATTTCTTAAAGAAGATGAGAAAAGACAGGGTATTTTTTTTTATCTGATACAAAGCCAAGTGAGCTTTTAGTGACACTCTTGGTATCAGGTGAAAGGACTTCAACAGTTTCAAGAGACCAATGTAAGACAAGGTCTGTGCTGTGGTTTAAGGAGTGAACTTGAATCAGAGAGATAGGGGCTGAATCCAGGCTCTACCCAGATCAAGTATGTGGTCTCGGGTTAATTATTTACTCTCTGTTTCTTCATCTGTAAAATGAGGATAATAGTATTACCCACTTCCAGTGTGCATGTAAATTGCTTAACACAGACTCTAACAGACAGTAAACACTTAATAAATAAATGGCCACAGCTGTTGCTGCTACTCTCACTAAAATGGATGAAATCAGAGGAAAAAAACAGTGTCCCATTCTGATGAAACAATTTAATTCTAGAGGAATCTGAGAGGTACAAGCCTGTTCTGATGGAGTTCTCAAGAGTTTAGAACTTGTTCCCATGTAGTTAAATTCTGGTAACATCTTAAATGTAAATAAGGGACCGATTACATAAATAGTACCTGCGTTCAACAGATTACTATGCAACCACTGAATGTGATGCTGAAAAGTATTCAATGACATAGTGAGATGATCCTAATGTGTTATTAATTAAAAGAGCAATTTCCTAAACATCATATATAGTATATTTCATTTTCATTTTACATATGCATGTTTGCATGAACAAAAGACTTGAAATACAGACGTAAAAATGTTATCGATTAGTATCTTTGATAGAAGTATGAGTGATATTAAATTTTCTTTTTATTGCTTTCCCCTAATTTTTCTGTAATGAATATGCATTGCCTTTGCAATACAAAAAACTTAAAGTTGTTTTTAAAAAAAGACATGCAGGGAAATTAAAAAAAACTTTTTTTCTTGGTGACCTAAAGTATAATTTTTTAAAAACAAAGGAAAGTCCAAATGTTTTATATCTAGAGCTCTACTAGTACAGGATAATAAGGGAAAGACAATGACAATGTAGTAAGGGAATAATAAGAGCATTCCAACTGTTACACAATGGTCTCGGTTCATGGTATTTACCACACTCTTCCTAGAATCTGTGAATCATGTTATGACCATCTTATGGTTTAATACTAGTCCATACATGTTTTTTTAAGTTTAATAGTTATTTACATTTGGTAACTTCCAATAATTAAAAGATTGTTAAAAAAATAACAGTTTGCCATTTTGTTTCTCCATTCTGCCATTTTGTTTTTGTTTGGCTTGTTTCACACATCATCCTCCGTGTTTGGGGCAGCAAGCATAGAAACTGTCATTTAAACTGGAGGCGATGCCAGGAATCTGCTTCACAACTTCTGAGTCAGCTCTCCCACCCATCATCTCTCCGTGTTCATGACTCAGAGTAACAAAGCCTGCACTTAGTGTAATTAACTTCCCTTAGTCCTTTTTTTTTTTTTTTAAGACAGTCTTGTGTTTTCTCATGCCATTTGCAGTAGATGGAAATGGACAGACTCTTACCTTTCTGTTTGTCTTGTGAACTGTAAGTGCCAAATGGATGCAATGAACTATTATCATTTCTCCTGGAGGTGGTTATAGTGTTTTGACAATTCTCAAAGCATGGCTTAGAAAATGCCCCACACTCTGCAGGCTCCTAAGGGATAAAAATAAAAATTACATTTGCTTTTTTAATATGTTCGAACTTGGTCAATGACAGCAAAGTAGGAGAATGATCAATTTAGGAATGATCTTCCAAAAGTCTACTGCATATACACTCTCAACTGGAAAATCAAAATGGCCTTATCAGTGAAAACATCTTTGAATACGAAATACAAAAAATACTGACAATGTGGTGCTAAGGATTGGGAGTACTCATAGCCAACACCAAAGAGGATTAACTTTATTACTCTTTCCCCCCACTTACAAATGGCTTCTTTCAAATTTTCTTCCATCTGGGAGTACAGCTTGTGGCAGTGTCAACACAAGAATAACGGTCCATGCCAAGGGTATTTGTCTGCCAACCAGCTGGTTCCTCTCTCTCTCTCCCTCAGCGACTAAGTGCATATGCTCTAGGACAAGTCAGAACCTAAGCAGGTTTGCCACTCAAATACCATGAGTGTGTCCCGCTGCAGACACTGGGTCTGTTGCCCAGAAGCTAAAACAAACTCTGTGACAATACCAGACAGTGGTCCTCCTGAGTTTTTGCCCACTTTTTGGTATTTTCCCCTCCTATTTGGATGTTGACAGCCTGCAGACAAATTCATAGTGTCCTCAAGATGGCTGTATCCAGAGTAACAGGCCCACAAAGCATGTTGCACGGGTGTGAAGAGGTAGCGGCGGGGGGCCAGTTTCAGAGGGCTCCAGCTGTTTGTTCAAGAGGACTGAGGCACACAGAACTGGGGGCTGCTCTTGCTTAGACTGTGTGTCTTTCTAACAGATTTCAAGGAAGTCATGTGGACGCCATCTCACCGTTGTGCCTTTGACCATTTGTTTTTGTTTTGTTTGTTTGTTTTAAGATTTATTTATTTGTTTGTTAGAGAGAGAGAGCACAAGCAGGGGGAGTGGCGGGCAGAGGCAGAGGGAGAAGCAGGCTCCCCGCTGAGCAGGGAGTCCCATGTGGGACTCGATCCCAGGACCCTGAGATCATGACCTGAGCCGAAGGCAGCCACACAACCGACTGAGCCAACCAGGTGTCCCCCCTTGACCATTTGTGAGAGGAACAGGCCACATACAGAACACAGATCTGATCCCCAAAGCTCTTTACTTCGGAGCAAAGCATTTGGCCCAAACAATTTTATTATACTTTCCTCTCAGTTCCACAAGCTTGATATCCTGCTAAACAAAATATTTAAAACATTCAATTTATGCATTCTTAATAATTAAAATATTTTCAGCTGCTGAAGTTCTGGTAGCTTCTTGTTGAGGCTTATAACACTTTTCCCACACCCAGTGTTACCCTCTGCCTCTGTACTGCTAGTCAAACCAGACTCAGCAAACTACTCCTAAATTAAAGCTGGAGCCCTGGCAGGCAGGAGAGGTAGGACTGACTGCACCTAGCCTTGTGCTTTAACAACAACGACAAGAACCAAAAAAAAAAAAAAAAAAAAAAAAATTCCGCTTTCCCAGCTCTTTGATAAATGACACAATCGATATCCCAACAACTGATCAGTAACCAGCCTAATTAAAGTATTCAGCCTGTAAAATAGGGCTGTCGTGGAGCCCTCCATTAGTTTCCCAGCCAATAAAAAACATAATGGATTTTTAAACATATTCTGCTTCTACCAAGAGGAGCTTGTAGCGGGGAGGGAAATGTTTTGGGGAAGGGGAAAAAAACAGGTCATAACCCATTTTTTAATACTAAGTCTCTGGGCTCAAATAGAATTACAGTTGAACCTCAAGCTCATCCTTTGAAAAACATGGTTCTGTTTAAAATGATTCTGATTCCATCAAGGACTCATTACATATTCTTCACGAGGTCCTCATCAAAACTGTTTATGTATCTTGAACATCTGGGTAATGTGGGAAAATACTCCAACAACTATATATTTTGACTTTTCTTAAGTAGCTTCTTCAATTTTTTTTATATCAATATAATGTTCAAGTAACCATTTTGGTATTCTTGCCAAATCTAACTAATTGATTTGCCTGAATGTATGAGCAGTGCTGAGACCTTTTTCTCGGTGATGCTGCTTTTTTATTGTACCTGAGGGTGCAATACAGAAGACACCAAAAGCATGAGTGCACAATATATGATTTGACACAGTAAAACACAGAACCGGGAGATCATATAGCTCCAGACGTTTTGTTTTTGTTTTTGTTTTTCCCAATTTAATAAAGATTAGTTGTACATTAGAGGCTGCTGTCTTCATAAGACAAAAACGCTCTTTAATCTTCGTGGGTACCACAGAGATTCCCGATAGCTGAGAGCATCAAGTGCCTGCTCATTCCCCATGGAAAGCATGTAAATATTAGGGAAACTAAAAAGGGACCTTGTTTAAATGTCCTCATCAAAACTGCTTTTTGTCCCATTTCTTAATTCCCAATTAATTTCCTAGTGAACTATATTAACAAAACACTTCTGAGGATGGGCAACAAACCGAAAGTTTAGTACTTTCTTCTGATGGAATAATTGTCAACCCATCTCAGAGTTGGAGAGTGGAAATATGTGCAATGAAGAAGAATGTAAATGATAAAACGTCTCAACTAGATGAGCCCAAATACAGAATGTTTACCCACCAGGCACGTGCCTGTTTTAGAGAAAGACATGAAATTAGGAAAGGGGAGGGGTAGCAGACATAAAATGCCTAACAACCATGTTCATTTTTTCTTTCTTTCTTTTCTTTATTCCTTAACTTTTGCTATTTGCACAGGTGTGGTACTCTACAGCAGTGCCTTCCAGACTTTTCTCTTAGTTGAAATATCTTTGTTCCAAGAAATCTGAAGGGAGACATAATAAACAGATGCGCAGAGGGGTGGCTTAGGGGCCCACGGGCCATCCTTCACACCTACCCCAGCCAACTGGGTACCATGAATCCCAAGGCTCTAGAGTAAGAATCAAATTAAACCAGAAAGGAGCCAATTCCATCGTGGATGGAAGCAATAGATAAGGGTTTTATAACTATGTACATAAGTAAAATCCATTAAATATTCATGGAAGCCTCTCTGTCACTTAAGCAGACACAAATGTTGAAAACGAGTTGGCTCATTATATATAGTCTCCAGTAATTGGCCAATTTACATTTATTTAACATTTACAAGGTTATGTACAGAAGAGTAAAAAGGTACAGTTACCCTCTTCCAACAGCTGATAATATAACGAAGTGAGATATAGTTTATAAGTTTACTACTTCAGCTGACCCTCTCAGATAAAGTAGGTCTCAGATGCATCTTTTATTCATTCATTTGACAGTATTTATTAAGTGTCTACTGTGTGCTGGGAAATGAGGATACATTAAGGGATAAAACAGACTATAGTATCTGTCATCTGCAAGTACTGAGCCCTCAGCTATGTCTTCCCATAGCCAGAAAATGGACAATCTGGGAGTTTTACTCAGGTAATCCAAAACTTTAGAGCCTAAGCTTTTAACTACTATGAGTTTCAACTACCTTCTACTATTGTTTAATTTGAAAAATCCTCTTTTTTTAAGTTGAACATATTATTAAAACTAATATTTTATGTTAGTGTGTTATTAACAGTATTCTATGTTAACTGCCTCTTACTGTATTACACAAACATTACTTGTCCTCAGAGAATATTTGTGTAATGTGCTCATGTTTTTCTTAACTCTTAACTATGATCAACTGTTTTCTTATCTTTTCTTAAAATATTTTTAGGAGCATTTAATAATGATTTTTCATATATAAGAGAAAATAATGTTTTAGGAATATTTTATATTTATTATAAATATGTTAATATACTTGTATAATAATATAATTGTGTAATATAAATATAGTATAGTTGTATGTAAGTGAAATGTTTAGGGATATCAGCATTCAAGAATATTTTATGCTTACACCTCATGGGTAGGCAGAAATATTTCTTACGTTAAAAAAAATCCCTAAAAAATCATGATAAAATACTGTAAAAATACTTATTTAATTAAAAAACATTTATTTAATAACATGAAGCAAGCAGCTTGCTTAACAGACCAAATTTTAAATTAGTTAACTTCCAGGTCTGTATTAGCTATGTGCACATTTTGGGGGAAAATGTACTGCATTATAACAATCTTCACATTAAGCACTGTATGCATCTGATTAAAAACTTTCTAAAGTATGGACACTATACGCACCTCAATCAAAAAGTATATAAAGATGCTACATAGTTTAATAGTTTATTATATGAATGAAGTCCAAAGCTCTAGAAATTTCTGAGGGGAAAAAACTGGAAAATATGGACCTGTTATATTTGAAAAATTACTTACTTTATATGCACATTCTTAACACCTTCTAGTTATACCTATAATATACAACCATGTGTTTGCCGCATAAATCCATCAGAGCCCTTCTGGGGCATATTTTTCCAAAATTTCAGAATCAGTACGATACTAAGTGACAGAAATCTGCATATTCTAGGCGGCCATTTGGCAATTCGCTGAGGGAATTAAAGATATGCATCACCTCCAGTGGTCTCTCTGGTCTCCGCAGAATTACCAACTGGATCATCCCTCGAATATTTCCTTCCATGGACATTGATCGCCTCAGTGTCTCCATAGCTTCATGGTTGGACTTTCCCAAAAGAGATTCCCCATTAACGGCAATCAGCTGGTCATTCATCCGCAGACGACCATCCTAGGGCAGAGGGAAGAAAAACAGTATTAAATAGAGAAAAGTATGGTGATGATGGATGGCTATTCTGGAAAAAGTTCAAGTTTAAAAAGAAAAAGAAAAAAACCCAGCCATTAGGAATGATTTATTTTCTATGGCAGAACAAGGTTCTGGAGCTTATCAAATAGTCACAAATACTAACAATAATGAACTGTGTGAAAGTATGTTTTTGAAATCTCAGAGTCCCAAGCTGCAATAATTTAGACATTTGTATAATATCTCTTACCTAAATCTTTGGCAAGCATGCTAACCTAGCCCGATTCTGTCATTTTCTCTGGCAGGGACCATACTGGCTCATGGAAAGGGGGTTTGGAAACAAAAGGAAGTGGTCACATCACTTGAAACAAGGGCTTGCATTTGCGGGCACAGGGAGACATTATGCTTAAATGTTGCATGTTTGACAGTGGTAATGTGTCTCCTAGATCCTACCGCTAGGTCTGTTGAACTGTGCTGAAAAAAAAAAAACAAAATAAAAACCACTTCATGTAATTTTCTCTAATACAACCAAAAAGTTGCTAGTCTGCTAGTCTGCAAAAGAACACAGAGGTGTGCAGTGAGGGACTAATTTGCTATGATGTCTTCTGGCAGAAAAAGGGTGACAAAAGAGACTGTCAAGCATTTTTTGCAAGGAGACTCTGACTGATGAGTACTTTTACCCAGAATCTTCGGAAGCCACATACTACAAAGTGCACAGAAGCTCAACATGTGGATCAGCAGCCTGGACTCCAGTCTGAATCACTTCTAGACACTAGTCATCTTCAGCCAGAAGTATCACACAAGCTAGAGACTGGGGTGCCATCTCTGCCAACAAAAGAACTTGGGGGGGACCACAGTGCCTCTCCCCCATAGGCAGCCTCGAGGGAAAAATCTTCAAAATACTGACAGTCAGATTAGGGACATGCCTTAGACCTGTTTTCACACTAGGGTAGAAAGTTCTCACTACGAGGTACAGGTGCAGTTTTAGGAATGTTATGATGTAGGGGCGCCAGGGGGGCTCAGTGGTTAAGCGTCTGCCTTAGGCTCGGGTCATGATCCCAGAGCTGGAATCGAGCCCTGCATCAAGCTCCCTGCTCCTCGGGGAGCCTGCTTCTTTCTCCCTCTCTCTCTGCCCCTGCCTCCGCTCGTGCTCTCTCTCTCTCTCTCAAATACATAAATAAAATCTTTTTTTTTTTAAAAAGGAATGTTATGATGCCACTGCAGCTAATAAACTTAACCAAAATACCAGGAGGTTTGTATGACAAGTTACCTTCCTAGAGAATTCCTCCATAAATTATCTCTAGTGATTCTCACAGAACTCAAGAACTAGAACAATGCTTTTATTCACATTACAGATAAGGAAACTGAGGCAGGGAAGGGCTGCAACTTGCCCAGGTCACAAAAGCAAACCAGAGACACAATGACCCCAGTTCTGATATCATGCACTTTGGCTCTTCAGTCTCCCTACTAGAATTCTCTTTATTATTTGGTCTCTAGACTACAGTTGTACAACTCTAAAATAGGAAAGGAAAATATTGGAGAGTTTTTACAGGAGTAAGTATCTGGGATCCATGTTCAAGTTAAGAGAATAAAATACAAAAGATTAAAACTTCCCTAAGAAATGAGAAAACCAGGCATACAATGAACAATAGGACCAACTGTGCAGCTTTGGGAGAGAAAGCCTGCAGACAAGTTGATAAACTTTGACAAATTCGGTAGCAGATGGTCAGAGGAAGTTCTTCCACTGACAGCAGGGGAAAGGCTGAGTGGTGAAAGCTGCTCTAGAGAGCTAATGCTGTGATGGAGATGCACTGCACGTGCCACCTGCTGGTGAGGGCGCTGGGCGCGTGGGCTCGCAGAGGCTGCCCAAAGGACCATATGCTCCTGAATGAAGAAAGTGGGATGTCAAGGCGACGAGATCGATCCAGAAGGGCATTTGATCAGAGCAGGAACATGTCTGAGTGGACTGCCTCCACAGAGCATGATGTCTCCTCCCTTCCTCTTGTCTTCCCACTCCACTTAACCTTTACCCTAATTTGGAGCAAATCTGGAAATGAGATTTACAGGAAAGGAATCTCTCCATTTCTATGATCTAATTTTGAGTGGGGCACAGAAAGACTGAGGTTAAGGTTACACAAAACAGGGTAAAACAAAAACAACCTTAATGGTTGAGTCATGTGAAGTGAGACACAACTCGAGAAATCATTCTGGTTTATTTTGGCCTTTGGTGGAAGGAGGACTAATGGGTTGAGTCTTGAGAAGGAGGCTGGGAGGGTCACTAAAAATCGGATGTAAGATTTTTAAAGAGGAGGAGGAAGCAGAAGACTTGGATCAAGATCCTCGCCCTGTTAACAGGAAATGAGGTCTAGCACTGGATTTGCAGAGGCTTAGTCTTGGCAGAACACCTCTTCCTCTATGATATGAAGAAAGATAAAGACTGAAACTTTATGGGTATCTCTAGGACGGAGGAAATAAAATCTGAGTGAGATGCCACCTGGTAACCTCATGTGAACCTTCTCTGTGAAGTATGGTGCAAGGTCTATGTGAAGAGGTAAATAAGAGATAAGGAGGTATAAGGACTTTTTTTTTTTTTAAAGATTTTATTTATTTATTTGAGAGAGCGAGAATGAGAGATACAGAGCACGAGAGGGAAGAGGGTCAGAGGGAGAAGCAGACTCCCTGCCGAGCAGGAAGCCTGATGCGGGACTCGATCCCGGGACTCCAGGATCATGACCCGAGCCGAAGGCAGTCGCTTAACCAACTGAGCCACCCAGGCGCCCAGGACTTTTTTTTTGATAAAATAATCTCTTACCAACAGGTACTAAGCACAAACTTTCATTTTTAGCTACATTCCAAGTCTCAAGCACACAGACCACTACACTGAAGTAGAACATGTTTGCTGTATCCAAGTCCCAAACAAAAAGGCAGGTCAGGTCACCCTGGGGCAGCTGGTATTTTTTTTTTTTGGAAGAAATACACATTTATCACAAGCATCACTGGAGAGCTGTGGGCATGATGGAAATCCACACACTCTCATTTTCAGGCTTGGCTGGTCTGTTGCTCTTGGTGTGTGCTTTCTCTGTATAAGATAAATGATGGGTAATTTCATTAATGGTGATGCCAGTAAGTGCCATGTTGTCCTAACATTTAGAATATAATCACAGAACTTAGAGCTTGATAGGTCCTTTGAGATCATCTTGTCCAACCTCTTCTGTACATTTAAATAATGTGATGCTCAAAGAGGATGCAAGGCCATTTATTGAACTCATCTTAAGAGAAGGCACTTCCCCATGGGCTGGGACTTGCTCAGCTCGTTAGGGTCAGAGCTAGATCAGAAGAGCCCAAGTCCTCGCTTCTTAGCATTCTCCATTCCTAACCATTCTCTCTGCTACATAGATGACGGTGACTAGTTCCTAAAGAAGTAACGCTTCAAGAAAAAAATATTCAAAACCGGCGAGGACAATATGTCACCAGATGTCTCCTGGAAGAGAGCCTGATACAAAATCCAGAGTCAGATGGCAGAAGATATGGTGACTGGTGCCTGTGCTGGGAGATGGCAGGACAACTGTCTTCTGCAGAAGCAGGAGACAATTTGTTCACCTCTCTAGCCACAAGGAGATAAATGCATACCCATGTCTGGGCTTGGTCAAAAATGAAAGCGATTCAATGGGAAGTTCATTAAATATCTCTAACTCAGACTCATTAAATATCCTTCACAATTGTATATGACCATTGTGTATACTTTGGGATAATTTTGACCAAGAAAAGCACTTTTTTATGGTTTTATCTTTTTCTTTTAATACTATGTTTAAGTGCATACTTAGACATGAGAATGCTAACTCTCATCAACTGATTTTATAGAAGAGATTTCAACTATCTGGGGATATAACTCAGTAATTTTAGAATATTTATTTCATTGTAATTTGGGTCATGCTTGTGTCTGTTAAAGAAAAAAAATCCTGTTCTGCTACAGACTGAATGCTTGTGTCCCTCCTCCCCCATCCCTCTTCCAAATACGTATGTTTCAAATATGTGAGGTTATTAGGAGGGAACCTTCATAAATGGGATTAGTGCCCATATAAAACAGGCCTGAGAGAGATTCCTCACCCCCTCTGCCATGTGAAGGTACAGCAAGCAGATGGCTATCTATTAATCTGAAATGGGCCCTCACCAGACACTGAATCTGCTGGTGCCTTGATGTTAGACTTCGGCCTCCACAACTAGGAAAAATAAACTTGTTTTCTATAAACCACCCCATCTATGGCAGTCTGCTAAAGCAGCCAAAACAGACTAAGACACTTTCCTTCCTATTTTATTGCCATCAGACCCCTAACTAACAAGACTGCTTACCTCTGGCAACTATACTCTTCATCTCTGGTCAACCCCATAACCAACTCTATCCATCCTCAAGCAGGAGGGAGTAAAGGAAGTTCCCCAAAGAGGAAGGAGAACAGAGTAAAGATAAAAAGTAACTTCCTTAGGACACCTGAGGACAAATAAAAACTGGTACAAGATTTAGGTCTTCTCCATGTCCTGGGATTGCTTCAAATCTCATCAGCCCTAACCCAGTTCTAATGCAATAGGATGAATGGCCCAGGAGACAAGATGTTTGAGTATTACCGTCTCCCTTTTACTGAGCACCTAACATAGGCCAGTCTTTATGCAAATGTTTCGTATATGCTCTCTCATTTTTTTCTCATGACAGTCCTGTGAGAGATTTACTACTCTCCACTATTTAAGAGATGTAGAAATGGAGATTCAAAGAGATAAAGTGATTTGTCAAAGGTTATTGGCATGGCTAGGTGTCCCTGTCTCTGAGTCAGACATGTACCTGTTATGCTAAGATCAGAGTTCTAGAGATGATTAAAGACACTCCAATTATTAATGACAATAATTATTTAATGAGTTTCTTCTCTGGGTAGTCATTGTGCTAAGCCCATTATGTGCACTAGACGATTTAATCTTTACAACAATCCTATACATTGGGG